GTCCGAAGAAGAGGAGGCGAGGGAGGAAAGAGGAGGAGGAGGAGGAGGAGGAGGAGGAGGAGGAGGAGGAGGAGGAGGAGGAGGAGGAGGAGGCGGAGGGCGCCTCGTGGGAGTCTCCTGGGGCACTCCTGGGGCCTCCTCGCTGGTTTCCCGGGGGCCTCTGGGAGGTTTCTTGGGTCGGGGGCCCCCAAACGGGGCGGTGACCGCACCGTGCGGTGAGTCTTGGAGGGTTTCGAGGTCACCGCACGGTCTGTCACCGCACCGTTGCGGGACTCCAAATTGGGGGCGTCGGGGGCCCCTGGGAGGTTTCTTGGGGGCGTCCCTCTGGGAGGTTTCTTAGGGGCGTCCTTGGGCGTCCTTGGGGGCCTTTGGAGACCCTTGGAAGGCTCAATGTCAGGCGATCGCAAACATGGACTAAGGGGGCGTGGATTAGCGACGGGTCCCATTTCCATTGGAAATCGCGGGGTTCAGTCGCCGAACGAGGCGGCACCAGCCGCATTTTGGGGAGGGCACCTCCCATGATCCATGGATTTGGTGACCGCGCGCCTAAACCATGGATCGCTAATCCGTGTTTGCGCGCCCCCGACAATGGCAGTCTGAGAACGTTTCTAGTTCGTCTGACGCCGTCGGAAACCGTCTTGGGGGCCTCTCTGGGCCAAGTTGGGGCCCTCTCGGGGCGTTCTAGGGCCGTCTCGGAAGCCATCTTGGGCTTCTTGGGGGCGTCTTGGTCCGTCATGAGGCCATCTTGGAGGCCTCTTGGGGCGATCTTGAGGCCTCTTGAGCCGTCTTGGGCCGTCCGAAGGCCGAAATAAGCAAATACCCCAAATCCGTCCAAAACTGAAGGGGAATCAATGATTTCTGCTTCGTCGGGCCTTATTTGGGCCTTCCGGATAACCTATTGGAGGCCTCTGGGGCAGTCTTGGTAATTAGCCTGCTGGGGCCGTCCTGGGCCAGTTGAAGCCATGGTAGGCCGTCTTGCAGTCTTGGTGGATTCCTGGGCGGACTTGGACGCATCTTGGACCCTCTTGGGCTGTCTTGGAGGCCATCTTGGGCGAAGTTTGAGACCATATTGGGCCAGTTTGGCCGTCTTGGAGGCCATCACGGGGCCGTCATGGGCGGGGAAAACAACGACAGGCTGATTTTCCAGGTGGCTGCCGGGTTGGGCCGAGACCCCATTGGAAGTTCTTGAGAAACGAGCCATGGTTTTCAGAAATTTAGCACGTCGTGCACCATTTGTGATGAATCTCACCAGGGGGCGACGGACATAGTGGCCTTCCATCCTTCCCGCCACCGCGCCTGAGTTGTAGGTCAGAGGGTTTTTGGATGCATGTACGGATCTCTTGGGAGGCCTCTCGGATGCATCTTGGAGGCGCTTTTGGGGGTGTCTTGGGGCCTCTCGGGGGTCCCTTGGGGCCTCTTGGGCGCACCTCGGGGGCTTCTTGGGGGGATCGTGGGGCAATCTTGGGGCGAAATGCCAGTTCGTGCTCCCCATGTTGGACCCCTGTTGGGCCATCAGGGGACGATCTTAGGCGCCTCTTGTGCCGTCTCGGACGCTCTGAAGAGCGAAAAGGCGGTAATGCGAAAACCATACAACAACTATCCACCTTCCAAGGCCTCCAAGACGGCCCAAGAGGCACCCAAGGGAGCTCCAGGAAGGTCCCCAGGGCCGTCTGAAACCATGTTGGACATGCATGTCCCGATCAACGCGCCCTTGGCCTCTCGACAAGTCACGCGGGGACCCCCCTGAGAGCGCACATAACTCCGGACTGTGAGCCCCTGAAAGAATGCACAGAATTCAATACACAAAATTCGAATGGAACTGAGGACACTTCAATTCGGTCCTAAGGGCACGATGGCGGCTGTATGTATACCTATATGTATATATACACACATATCGATACATACATATACATATGCACATACACATACATACATATACGTATGCATATACAGTTACGCATACACAAATGCACATACATACACATACACATACATATGCATATACATATACATATACATTTACATATACATATACAAATACCTATACATATACATATGCATAGACATATACATATACATACACGTATACCTATACATTTACATAGACATAGACATAGGCATATACATATACATACATGTACTGCGAGAGTCAATGTTACACAACGTTGTTGTGCCCTGATCTGCAAGGCGGTGTTGTGTTGTGCTTTGTTATGTCGTGCTCTGCCTTGTAGCGCATGACACCGCAGCGCGTTGCACATGTGCGCACTCATTAATAAGAATGCACAGACTTCAGTTCGCGATAGATTCACTCGGAGGCTACACTTCGTTGCCAGCCACTTTGCTTCAATCGCCGACGGTGTTTGGAAGCATGTGCTGAGGAGTCTGGAGAGATGCTTCAGCGTCGATCACGCTGGGCGTCTGCGCGTGAGTTCTAATAACTTGTGCAACGTGCAACTTCCCTCCCGCATTGCTCAGCGTTGTACTCGAAAGCTTTACTGCAATGCTAAAAGGATGCTTCTTGAGCAAGCCACGCTGGATTGACATGGGCATCTGCTCTGTCCGTCTGGGTCCTTCCTTTCTTGCATCCACCGCGTCGAGGCGCAATGGACCTCTGGCTAAAAATGGAGCGCAGTGCAGCGAGGCTCGGCCTGAAGGTGCAGCTTAGCGCCAGGTCCAGATCTCTGACGTCTGGCTGGCGGAGATTCCCGAGCATACACTTTGACCAACGAAGGAGCGTGTGCTTCCTACGTTTTTGGGGGGCAACCTGGGGGCACGTTACCTGGGCATACGTTTGGTACCCCAGGGTGCAATGAGATGCAGGTATTTTGGATGGATGGATACAGCTTCGCGGGCGGACCGTCAGATATGTGTAGCATCCGTCCAGGGTAGGGTGAGTCGGTGATCGTGCGTGCCCGTCAGCGGGCGAGTTGACTCGCATTGGTGTTACCATCTGGTCGCCAGACGCCCCTGGACAGTGTGCTTGGGGGGGTCCCACTGGTATTCAGAGCGCGCCCCTTAGAGTGATCACGTACGCTCGGTGTGGAAACGTTACTGCCCAGGCTCTTGGACCTGCTGTTGCTAACCTTTCTTAGTGTTGGCCCTATGCTTGCCTCCTGACGCATGCACCCAGGAAGCAGCTTGTGGGCGTGATCCAGGAGGGCTCATGTGGGTTGCAGTCGATTGCCCGTAAGCACCTGTCCAGAAGACGAGCGGTGGTTCAGCCGAACAGATAGCGATGGGAGCGGTCTTTCGCCACCTTTGGTCACCCGTTGCGCAGCAGGAGTTTTTCCCACGAGCTGAAAGTGATACCCCTGCCAAGGCTGACAACAGTGTTATTTCGATCGGATTCCTCGCTTCAGATTAGGCATCCCCCTGCTCCTCCTCCTCTCCCTCCTCCCTCTCCTGCGAAGGCACGTGCGCTCCTCCTCTTCTCCCTCCTCCTCGTCATCCGCTGCGACGTCACTTGCTGGTAGGAGTCCAGTGGACCTGACCGTCCAGGAGCCCTGTGGCTCCGTATCCAAGGCTGCGGCATGAAAAGGCTCAGGGGTGGCCGCCACTTTGACCACACGCGCCCTGCCTTCGGACGGCCAGAGCGGATTCCGTCGCTGCCATGGGCCACTGCTCGGAGATGTTGGGGCTGGATGGCTCCTCGCTCGGGCGGCAAGGTCACGAGAGCTCAGGCCATACCTGCGCCACGGGCTCCGAGCATTGCCTCGGAGCGGCCACAGGAAGGCGCTCGAAGTTTCCAGGAGGCACTGTCGACGTGGAGACTTGCACCCAGCATCTCGTATACTTTTCCTTCGGTTGCGGCGTGGTGCCAGCAACTCCTCGTCCTCGTCCCCCTCGTCCTCGTGTCACTCGTCATCCTTCTCCCTTGCTCCCCGTCCTCAATCCTACCTGTCTCGCTCCCCTCCTGCGTCTACTTCTGTGGTGAAGCCTCTGCAGAGTCGTGCCGATTGCTTTCGCTTGCGAAGAATACCGCAACAGACTCGTCGAGGTAAAGTGCATCAATATGAGCCGCACAGCCAGGCTTCAGAAGTTGATAAGTCGCTGCCATCGGCTGGGTGCCCTGATCATGTGAATCTTTGAAAAGACACAAATTTTATACCGTTTCTAGATCATCGGATTCGTATATCCCGGATTCATGCCATCGTGCATGTCCTCCTCTTCCTCCTCCTCTTCCTCCTCCTCCTCCTCCTCATCCTTCTCATCCTCCTATGCCACCCCCCCGCTTCCCTCGCAGCATCGATAAGCCATGCTGTTCGACCTCTCGTGCCTGCGAACTTCTGCCGGGGGCTTCTACGCAGCGATGGGGTACCGCAGGGGCTGCTGCGGGGTTCAGTCTGTCGTTGGCCGCCACTGGCGCGTTGGCCCAGCAGCGGCGTGAACAGAAACGCATCTTCGATGTTCTGCACCGGGTTTCTTGTTTGTGCGGCCTCCTCCTCCTCCTCCTCCTCCTCCTCCCCCCATCCTCCTTTTTTTCCTCCTCCTCCTCCTCCTCCTCCTCCTCCTCCTCCTCCTCCTCCTCCTCCTCCTCATGCCCTCTTTGGCCTTCCCCCTGTGGCTTGCTCCCTTCTTGTCCTCCGCTCCTGCCAATCGTCCTCTGACGTACGGAGGCCAGCCGCGTACGCTCGACGCGCCTCCTCTCTGGTCGAACCTGCGGTCCGTCACGCCTCCTTCGACATTCTTCGACCCTCCGTGCCTTGCCCCCTGTCCCCTGAGATGCAGACGTCGGAGGAGGGCCAATGGAGACATCGGCGGCTCCCCTGCCTGGCCTCAGATCCGTTCCAGAGCGGCCCCCGAACCCCTCCCGGGGATCCGGCCGCAGCAGCGAGAGCCCTCCGGGAGGCCCCGAAAGAGCGAAAGGCGCCAGGGAGGGCCGCGGTTGTCTCGGCTGGCCCCCCTCGCCGACGTGTATTACAGGCATCACAGCTGAGGTGGTCTAACTTTTCGCGGCGAAGAGAAAAAAAAAAACTCCGAAAGCAGATCGGCCCGCCGAGGACTTGCTCAACTGCTGGGAGTCCCCGTCGCCCTCCCACGGCGCCCCGTCCGAGGCCCGAGGCGCCGATGCGGGCGCCTCTGCGGCCGAGGCCGCTCGCGCCGGCACCACCATCTACCCCCCCTTCACCGATTGCTTGTTCCACTCCCCCCTTCTCCTCCTCCTCCTCCTCCTCCTCCTCCTCCTCCTCCTCCTCCTCCTCCTCCTGTTCCTCCTTTTCCTCCTCCATTCTTCGTCCTTCTGGACAACGCCTCCCTTGTCACACCCCCAGTCGTAGCGGTAGGGCGGGCCGGTCGTGTCGCCTGAAATGTCTTGACCATGTATGGTTCTGAACATTGAAATGTGTAACAGCTTGGCGGATGGAAGGTGGGTGGTTTTCACAATGGTGTTCTCGCCGTGGTGCCGCGCACATTCGTCTTGAAGGTTTCTAACAGGTTCAAGGGTGGAGGGTGGGCAGTTTTCAAATGTGCCTTTCTCGCTTCAACGCCGCGCACAGTCGTCTCAAAATTGTTCAACAGTGTCGAAGGTGGAAGGTGGTTCGATTTCAAACTGTGGCTCTCGCTTCAGCGCCGTGCACAATGGCTTTGACAATTCGCAGCAAGTTCAATGATCCGTATGGCTGAAGTCCCAGCAATGGTGTCCTGGCACGACTTAGGGTTGTCAGGACGCAGCAGTCACGTTGGTTCGTGGCGTTGAAGTCCTAGGAGTGGTGTTCTGGTACGGCTTCGGATTGTCAGGACGAAACAATCACCTTGATCCACTGCGTCGAAGTCCCAGGAATGGCGTTATGGCATTATTGTTGATTATCAGACGGTTGCCTTCTAATGGATCATTTCTCGCAACGGCCCTATTTTTTTGATGGCCCATGACGAGGGAACTCCGAGGGAAGCTTTATTGCAACATATCGTTGATTCGTCGTGAGTTTACACTGGTCCTGCTCTTTCTCTTCCTCGACCACTTGATCCTCAATGTGAGGGATGAGGGGAAGGAGAAGGCGGCGGCGTAGCGGTATGGGGCCGAACATTGTTCAAACCGAGCTGAACACACAGCGGGAGTTTACGATGTGCGATGTACACCGTGCGAACCGAATCGACGTCGGATGGAAGATGGCCCCTCTTCGTGGGGAGCCCCGATTTGTCTTCGCTCCAGGGGGTAGGAGGAGGAAGAGGAAGGAAAACACCCACAGGCAGGACTCCCTCAGCTCCTTTCTGCAGGCCCTCTCAGCTGCAATGAAAAAGAGTCCTCCTTGCCTGCGTGCGCTCCTTGACCACCTCGTCTTTGCTTTGCCCGTTGCAGTCTGAGCTCCCCAGTGCGAAAAGCAACAAGGTTGTTGGCATTGATTCCACTGCGCGAATTCCACTTGATGTGAAGTCCTTCCGAAGCCCTCATGAGAGCAACCCCTCCCCCTGCCACTGTAAGTTGCAAGGACTGGGAACTCTGAAGTGTGTCGCTGGTGTGCAGCAGTTCCGACACCAGCCCTTGGCCCGTGTATCCCATTGCCTGAGTGTTCTTGGCATAGCGGTGCGTGGCGATGGCGTCCCGACGACGTCCGATTCAAGGGCGCTGGTACTCATAAGCCGAACGACTTCAAACAAGTATCTTCCTCTTCCACCTCCAACTCGGTTCCTCCTCCTCCTCCGCCTCCCTCTCCTCAGCCTCCTCCTCCTCCTCCTCCTCCTCCTCCTCCTCCTCCTCCTCTGCCTTCCTCTCCTGCTCCTCCTCCCTCTCGCCCCCTTCCTCCTCATCCGCCTCCTCCCCCAATCACCCCGGCTCCTGGCGCCAAGGCGGGCACCTCTGTGGCGGAGGCCGTGATCGCTGGCCTCGCCATCGCACCGGTGTGGTTCGCCTCCCAGTGGACCTACAGCGCCGGGGTCGCCAGGACGTCCGTAACGTCCTCCACGGTGATCTCCACAACCAGCGTGGTGCCCAGGAGAGGCCCACAGACCTCCAGGCGTCACAGAGAGTCACGGCTGACTTCGTTCTCGATTTCGGCGCCAGGGGATCGTATTCCTCGCTCCTGAACCGCAGGTGTAGCCTTAGGTCGGGCACGTCCTCCTACGGGCGGATTATGGGAGAAAGATGAAAAAGAGCGAACAAATCTTCAAAAATAGTCAGACATTGTCGAAGAATCCTCCCCAGGCTATCTTTTACTATGTTGGAATTTCCCCTCCTGTAGAGGGACATGCCCGACGTACGTTTAGCCCTCCAGCTGGCGGGCACGTTGCACCGCAGGCGAGCCGGCGGCACATTGCCCCAGGAGGTCCCTGGCCAGGTGCGCTGGAACTGAGGCACTCACGTTGCCAGCCCACCTGGCCAGTGACCTCCTGGTCCAGGATTCCCCACATGACAGCAGGCCTTCACCTGTGTCATCGCCAGTTCCCGTCCAGGGTGTCCCAGGATTGCCCAACAGGTCCCTGGCCTGCTGTCCCTGGTGCGCTCATATTGTCCCTGGAGCCCTGTGAGCGCACCAGGGCTTTTGGGCCCTCCTCAGGGCAGTCGAAGCAGTATTGCAAGCCCACCAGAGCGAGGGGGGAGGATTTTGGGCCCTCCTCGGGGCAGTCGAAGCAGTATTGCAAACCCGCCAGAGCGAGGGGTGAGGATTCTGGGCCCTCCTCGGGGCAGTCGAAACAATATTGCAAACCCGCCAGAGCGAGTGGGGAGGATTCTGGGCCCTCCTCGGGGCAGTCGAAACAGTATTGCCAAGGACTTGCGGCCGGAGCCGCCGCCCCTGAAGGGGGACGACGACGACGACGACGACGACGACGACGACGACGACGACGATGATGACGGCGACGGCGACGGCGACGGCGACGGCGACGACGACGACGACGACGACGACGCTGACTCTCTGGAGCCGAAAGCTTCTCCCAGGTAGGGGTGCCCCACCAAGGGGTGGGGAAGTCACCAGGTAGGGGTGCCCCCCTAGGTGGGGGGGAGGTCAGAACCCCCAGAACCCCCACCCCCTGGGCGAGCGAGGGATCAAAGGGAAGGGGCTTCCCTTCGACTCTGTTACGATGGTGCTCGGTTTCCCTCGACGTTGCTCGACTGCCCTCATGCGAGACGACGACGACGACGACGACGACGAAAACGGAAAAGCGTCTCATACACGCTGGCAGGGTCGGCGAATTCTTGGCCGTGTTGGCCATCCTGTGGCGAGCGGTGTGCTCTTGAAAATGAGCTGAGACAGAATTGAACAGAATTCGTGACGCTTCGCGCATCTCAACCAGCCCATCCAGCAACGATTCCTAGGCGAGTTGCCCTGACCAGGGACGTGTAGAAACGGGCGGTGACACAAAGAGAAGGGCAACCGCCTTACCACCTGCACGCTCCCCCCCTCGTACCCTTTTCGGTATGCTCAAAGGCCGCATGGCTGACTGCTGGCGTGTGGCCCGTGTGGCTGACTGCTGACTTTGTCGTTGCACCGAAGAGTGTGAAGAAGCCAGGAGTCAAGCATCTAAGTGTTTTCGCTTTGGGGGGCCAGGGCTCTCAGGGGGCCTTTTTGTTGGAGGCATTGGGGCTCTCTTGGGTCCTCTTGGGAAACAAACGTTGGGGCCCTCCTTGGACGACAGAACACGTCTTGAAGTGCACCTGCACCCCTCTTGGGGCTCAGGCGATCTTGGGGCCAGCTCGAGGCTTCAGAAGCTTGTAGAGAGCACAATAACGACAGTCCCCCAAATAATCAGACACCTGGTGGCGTTCAGAGCATGTGTGCCCTTTGGATGCATCGTTGGAGTCGAGAGGCTCCGTGACCACTTAAAACCGTCCTGGAGCCTGATTAGGAAATCTTCGAAATGTCTTGAATGCTATGTTGGCACAATATTGCTCATCGTGAGCGCAGTATTGGAGCCACCCGGAGCGCAAATGGACCCTGGGATCGCTCGGTCCCATCCCTCCGTCTAGACCTAGGGGGTATGGAGGAAGGGTCGCCTCCCCCCCAGTCGGTGTCGGAGATAGCGTCTTGGGACTATCGTGGGCATTTCTCTGTGTTTTGGGATGCCTTTGGGTTCGTCTCGGGGCTGTTCTGTGTCCATCTTGAGACCCTCTTCGGCGATGTTGGGGACATCCTGAGGCCTCAGAAGTCCATCCGAAGCGAGAAGGCGAGAAACCCCAAACTACCTAGCAAAAACCACGGGTGCCTGATTGACGCTTCGTAATCGTAATCACTCGGAGTCGTGTTGGAGGCGTCTCATGGCAGGCTGGTCGCAACGTTGGTCTAAGTTGGCGAGGCCATCTGGACGAAGATAAACCACATTGGAACCATCTTAGCCACCAGCGAAGGTTCACATTGCCAACGGGAACGCCTCAAGCTGACTCCCTCACCCCCACCCGCCCTCCCAGCAGATAGGTACGGTAGGTTCGTGTCGTGTCGACCGGCGGCAACGTTGAACGTCGCAGGCGATCCAGAATCGTTCCAGGTTGAACGATCCCCGCGGTGTCAGAAACCAACGCCGAAGTCAGCACGACACGAACCTGACGCAGCACTCGAGACTCAGCCCAGGCAGAAGTCGCCATCGGATGAGCACACCGTGGGACCTCGTGCAGACGCCAGGTGTGCGGCGCTCGCGGGGTGCGCCATGGGCGCCACGGGCGCTGCGAGGCGTGCCAGGCGGGCCGGGTGCGCCAGATCCGCCACGTGCGCCAAGTGCGCCGCCTGCTCCAGTCAGTATCGTTTAGCCGATCCCTACGTATCCCCATTCCCATCCCCATCCCGGTCCCCACTATCCCACCACCCCAGTTGGGGACCTGCCCCTCGAAGCCCAGGGAGCCGCCTATAACCCCATCTCGGGGGTAAATCAGCCTGTGGGGCCCAGGCCACGCCAGTGGAGGTGGGTATCGGTTGAACGATGCTCATCGCGCCGAGCCAGGTGCGCGACGCGCACAGGGGAGCGCCAGGTGCACCAGTGCACGCGGGCAGCACGCATCAGGCAATACGTCGACTCCCCGACCATCCGTGCCAGAAAGCCATGGCAGAGTGCTCGCGGGCGTCCCCACTCACGATCCAGATGTTGCCGCCACGTGACTTCGCATTGTTGTTTGTATCGTTTTTGAAAGGTTGATGGGGGTGGCCCTCGTGGTTCCTGGTTGGCGGCCAGCCCAGTGGCGGAGGGAGCGTGTAAGAGCAAGGGCCAGAGGGGACGAAGGGGGCTGGGAAAGTGGGCCCCTTTAACCACTTACACCTGGATAGCTGGAGGGATTAGCAATGCACGAGGTGCTCATGTGAAGGAGTTGTACCGTCCAGATCCTCCTCTCCCCCTCCCCTTCGGTGGGCACGAACATACCTACACGGTAACGTGTGTTGCACATCTACTTATGTACCTTTTCTCAAGGTATGGACACTGCTGGCTAGCTGGATGTTCCTGGGCGAGAAGCTCACACCAGTCAAGTTGCTTGGGATCGCGGCTTGCATGGCTGGCAACGTGGCGACGCTATGGGGGAACGACATCGAGTCTGGGCAGAGGGACCACTTCTCTGGAGACGTACTGTGCCTTGTCGCGGCGATGTTGTACGCTACCTACACCACGATGCTGATGGTCCTCACCACAGAGGACACTTGCATCAACCTCGTCTTTGGTGCAGTGGGCGTAGCCATGTTGGTGTTCGCCTCTCCTGTAGTCCTCCTTCTCAGAGGCGACGCAGTGCGCACAATGAGCTCCGAGATTTTCGGGCTGCTCATTTTCAACGGCGTGTTCGATAACGTCCTCTCCCAGTACGCATGGGCCAAAGGGGTACAGTGGACGTCGCCCACAAGTGCCACCGTTGGCCTTTCGCTCACGATTCCCCTGAGCATGGTAGCGGATGTCGTCCGTAGGAAACCGCTCACGGTCTGGTCGTTCGTCGCCGCAGCGCTGGTGGTGCTGGGCTTTGTGTTGGTCACGCTGTCATCGTCGCCTGGTCGCGACGGCGATGGGGTCAAGGCGCGGCGGCCAGCTGCCGCGATGCCAGCGGACCAGGCCGACGGTGGTTCGCTGAGCGAGCCGCTCTCCCCGTCCGACGCAAGGAGTGGGACGAGAAATCTGAGTGGCGAAGCGCTCCTCCTTCACATCTCTCCCCCATTCAGTCTCCTCCGCCACTTCCTCCCTCGACCTCTTCCTCCCCTCTCCTCCCCCTCCTTCTCCCATTCCCATTACTCGGGCCTGTGAGGATGCATCCCGAGGGCAACACGGAGACCTTTGCCCAGCCCGCATTCGGAGTGAGGCCTAGCATTCGTGATACCACCGACGCCGGTAAAGCCAACGCGGAGATTCTCTCACCCTCGTAGGGTGTGCTTCGATGGGCGCAGTTGCCCTCCTCATCCTCATCCTTCTCCTCCTCTCTCAGAGTCCCTCTCCTCTCCGTGCCTCTTGCCTATGTGTATCTCTATAGATGTCTGTATATGTGTATATATACACCCACGCATACTTCCTCCCCAGTCTCGTGTCTCGTGCTGGCCACTCGTGTCTCGTGCCAGCCACTCGTCGCCCACGTAAGGCATCTCGTTTCTCGTTCCTCCCTCTTTCTCTCTCCCTCTCTCTGTCTCTCTCTTTCTCTCTCTCTCTCGCTCTCTCTCTTTCTGTTTCTCTCTTTCTCTCTCTCTCTGACTCTCTCTCGTTCTCTCTGACTCTCTCTCTCTGTCTCTCTCTCTCTCTCTCTCTCTCTCTCCCTGTGTTTCTCTCGCTATCGCTCTCCCTCTGTCTCCCTCTCTATATCTAGGTGTATGTACTTCCCTCTTTCTCTCGCTTTCTCTCTCTCTCTCTCTCCCTCCCTCCCTCTCCCTCTCTCTCCTCATCCCTGTTGTTGTGCGGCCTGCTCTGACATGGTGGAGCCCCCGCCCCAGGAGATAGGAAGCTGGCAACTGTCATCACAGGGCCTCCGCAACAAAAAACTCCCTCTCGCCACAGCACCCAAACGTGTCGGCAGAGCAGGCCCGGCGTCCCGCCCGAGACATCTTCGTTTGTTTGTGATGTCGAGGCTTGGAGCATCCGCCTGTTGCCAAGGGAGGAAAAAACACCCAGACCGGACAAGTGGCGTTTACTAAACGGCCTTGGGCGTTTACTAAGCAGCCCTGCCCTGTTCGGTGTCTTCTGTGGGGGCGTTCAGTAAACGGCCTCGCTTGTCGGGGTGGTTGTTATGGGGGTGGATGTTTTGCCCTCTATGTTGAACAGGTGGATGGCGGATGGCTTCTCTCGAAGAAGGAGAAGCGCCATAAGCATAAACTTTTGGCGCTCTGCGCGGATTTCTTGGATCCGCACTGAGCCCCCCCGGCGGCGCCTCCGGCGCCGCCCCTGGCGCGCTCCGCGCGTCAGGGAGGGGGGTCCAGCGCAGATCCAAGAAATCCGCGCGGAGCGCCATTTATGCTTATGGCGTTTTTTTTTGCTGCTCTCACCGTGTGGCTCCCCCTCATCGCGAGGCACACACTCTGCCCAGATTGAGGGCGCATAGCTGTCAAAGTGTCTCCCTCGCCTTAGCGCCACGCACACGCGTGCTGAAACATCCCCTATAGTTGCACTGGCGGACGGCGACTCAATGTATGCATGATGTTCTCGCTTGAAGCGTCTTCAGAGCCGATGCCCCGAAATCTAGAAGCTGTGCAACAGTTACGGTCCGAGGGCACATGTTTTGCAAAATGGTACTACTCTCGCCTGACGCGACCCCAGGCGTTTAAGGTTACATGTGCAAGTGCACGCCAGCAATAGGTACATGGATGGAGGGAGGCCCTTTGTCAACAAAACGGGCCATCTTTGGACATCCCTTAGACTTCCATGAGCATACATCTGGGCATTCCGTATGACTGGAAAGGGGAGGGCCGCTATGCCTGGAAGCGCGGCTCCTCGCCGCAACACGGCAGGCACAGGGGGCGCTCCGCCCAGCGGAGCGCAGCTCCCGCCGTGAAAAAAAAAGGCATCCGTGCACTGCCCTGTGAGGAGCGGGCTTGGGACGATAGTCGGGGGTGGACAGAACCCCCAACAGTGACACGTCGATTAGTGAATTGTCCGGTTTCGGTTCTCGAGAGGGCGCCGTGGCCGTTATTTTCCATGTTTGCGCCCGCCAGGTTTGGGCATCAGGTCGTTTTCACTAAACCACGTTTTACTAAAGGGGGGTCTGTCCATCCCCGAGATAGGCCTTATCCCGATTCGGCATGGTTAGGGGAACGAGCGATGGCAGAAACACGACAACTCGGAGGTCCGCGCGGATTTCTCGGATCGGCGCTGGGGCCCCTGGCGGCGCCTCTGGCGCCGCCCTTGGCGCGCTCCGCGCGCCAGGGAGGGGGGTCCAGCGCGGATCCAGGAAAGCCGCGCGGACCTCCGAGTTTTTATGTTTATGTCAGTTTTCGTTCCCCACCTGGTTGATGAATCTTCGATTGCTTATGATCCTTCCTCCTCCCCCTGCTCCTCTGCTCCTCCGCAAAGCCCGGTCACGCTGACTGGGCCGCAGTTTCGTCTTCCAGCCGCATGTTTCGACCACGAAGAATTATCCCGTGGCCTTGCGACCACGCAGCCCAGATTCTGCAGAGAAGCCCTATTCTTCGGACGGGAGCCGAGATTAATGACAGGCCCGATCATTGGTCAAGATACGGACGCGACGCCGCATTTGCAGATCAAAATCATTGAAGTCACGTGGGGTTGTAGGCACGTTGCAACCCGCTTGTTCGCGCACGCGCGTGCTACAAAGATCACGCATCATACTTGAATGTCCCGCCCGCCCGCCAGGCTGTTTGAGCCCCGCCCGCCGCCCGACCCGCCCGCCATTCAGGTCTGCTTGCCCGACTTGACCCGCTCGTTTGGGCATGCGCGCATAACCAACTTGACGGATCGTTCCGAGCCAATTGTCCTAAGAGTGTCCGGCTTTGTTGGGTTATAGACATGACCATGGTCATGTCCACGATCAAGTTCTAGACATGGCCATGGTTACGTGGAAAATCACTTGTTTTCGCATCTGCACCCTTCTCTTGATCATCGTCTCACCGTCGTCACCGTCATTATCGTCATCATCGCTACCGTCATCACCAGCATCACCGTCATCATTGCCATCCTCGTTCCCACCGTCTTCACTGGGTCACCATCGTCATCAGCGTCGCCCTCTTGAAAGCATCTTGGGCCGTCCTGAGGCCATCTTGCAGGCATCTTGGGCCATCTTTGCGGCTTTGGTGGCCTCCCCGGTCCGTCCTGGAAGCCACCTCGGGCATCTTGGACGCCTTAGAGAGTGCCAGGGACGTGTCAGGGCGCCAGCGGAGGCTCGGGAAGAGACGGCGGTGAGCGCAGGTAGGCGCTACGAGAGGGGGGGGCGTGTTTGGAATGACACCAGAGAAGAGCCCCAATCAGTGGATGGTTTTCGCTGAGGAGAGCGACCGGGAAGCCGGGAGCCTGAGAACCCAAAACCCACCGAAATCGGCCCGGAACCAATAACCGGGAACCCGGGAACCCGGGAACCCGGGAACCCAGCTTGCTACCCAAATCGGCGGGAAACGTTCGTCGAGTCTTCCAACTTCCGCTTGGACCCCTTCAGTGCAAGCACTGATTGGGGAAAAACTCCCGACTGTAATCCCTCACCGTGCCGACCTCCTCCGCCAACCTCGCAGGTCGCTCCACGAGGGCCGCGCGACCCCCCGGACGCGCTGGGCCCCGTGCGATCGTGGAGGGCCCCAGTGCTTCGGAGTAGAACTTGTTCCCGACGATCTTGTGCGTGCTTAGGATCAGGAGGGAAAGATACACACACAGACACAATTAATCGTCGATTCCCCAGATAATATGGGAAAACATGGGGAGTGGGGGGGAAGACGAAAACCCCCAAAAAATAGGAAAACATGGGGAATCTTTTTATTTGTGTGTATTGAGTTGTGTGCCCAAGGGCCCCTTTCATAGGATCATTCCGTAGCCCCACCAGACAGCTCACGGGCATGTGCGCACGCCACCGCCGTGCAGGCACGGCGGCGGACCTTGCGCTCGGACTCTGCGCAGGAGGCCCTGCGGGCTCCCAGCGGCCACCGAGGTGGACAGGTCGCCCTGCCGGCACCTCGTGCCACAGACGTGCAACTTCGAAGGGTAACGAGGCAGCAGGGTGGGGCTCGCTGGCCAGAAAGTATCGACAGAACGGTTCGAGGCACGAGGTCTGTTCAAACATATGTTGGAGGATATCTCGACATTCGTTGGAGCTCGCAGCATTTTTCCCCTGCTCTTTGTTCTTAGAGCTGGTTGCTACCTGATCAGGCCGATCATAATATTTTAGTGACGAGATCTGATAGGGCGGGTGAAGGTTCCGAGACTGTTTCTGACATGTGAGGCTCCTATTTCAATTTAGCGCAAGTTATAGGCAAGCTGTCGAGCCCTCGCAGACACTGCGATATGTCCATAACCAGTATGCATAGCGAGAAATATTTGAAAACAAATCTGAACCTGAGAAATATTACGACTGATGGTGGTGCTCTTTTGAATTTAGTCCAAGCTGCAGAGAAGATGCGTATCTGAGCAGAATGTTCGCGCACATCTCAGCGACAACATAAGACATGCAAGTTCGCCACATATCGCGAGACATAGTCGAATACAAGGTCGTAGTTGGTAACTATGTTGGGATATGTCGGTAGTATGTTCACTTCCGTTCAAGTTGGAGGCAAGTTGCGCAGCTAATAATTCCAGTGGTTGCCGCAGTAAGTTCCAACGCGAGACTTCCTGCATGGCATTGTTCGTTCCGAGTGTGTTCCACCAGCATTCGTACTTGGGAAATAGTTGGATGATTCTGGGGAGGCTTGTCTGATTTCCCTAAAAGATACGATTCCCAAGAAGTGATTATGTAGACGACGAGGTATTGTGCTTCTATGCGGGATATATGTCCAGTGCTTCTTGTTTGCCAGTTTGCCTCTGTAGTTCCCTTTCTGTTCCATTATGTATTGATTCGTTTATTGCTTCTTTTTCTGTTCAAGTCCGCTGCTTCATAAATTCGTCCTCTGTGTAGTAGAACATGTAACAGTTAGATCTGTGACATCTCTGTCTCTCGGTATATCTCTCTCTCTCTCTCTCGTTCTCTGTCGCTCTCTCTCTCTCTCTTTCTCCATCTCTCTCTCTCTCTCTCTCTCTCCCTGTTTATTTCTATGTTTTATGTTGTTGTTGCGGAACTTCTCAACGACGCGGTTTGATGTTCCATGTGAGGTATTGTGTTCATGTGTCATATGTTGAAGTTGCTGCGAGGGCTATGCAGCAAGCGCACATGTTGTGTTGTGGGCAGTGAAACTGTTGTTTCTTTGATTTGTTTCTCGGATGGCCTCCGGCCCATCCCGCCACCACGCTTGGCTTCTGAGCTTGAGGTGCCCTGGATGCATACCAGGGTATGTTGGGATGCCTGTCGGGGGCCTCTCAGAGGCGTATTGGTTGTCCCTCTTGGGGGCGTCTTGGGGCCCTCTTGGGGACATCCCAGGGACCTCTTGGAGCAGAAAGCTCGGAATTGTTGTTCGTGGTCCCCTTCTTGGGCCCCGTCTTGAGGGCCTCTTTGGCCGTCGTGTGGCGGTCGTGAGGGCTTCTTGAGCCGTCTCGGAGCGCCGAGAAGCTAAAAAGGTGAGAAAGTGCCACGGAAAGGGGCGATGAGGGGATGTTGTATGCACTACATTCCCGTTGCCACTTGGGCCCAAGGAGTGCACACCCGACTTGCTTGTGTATTGTACGCTTGCGCGCTGGACACAATTTGCGGGGTGGTGTGAACAAGGACCCCTCCTTACATCGCCCCAATTATCTCCCAACAGTGAGCTTTCACCCATGTTCATTTCGACTTGGTAGCGGAGCTGTCAGATCCTTTCT